AGCGGGGGAACGGAATCCCGGCCTCCGGCCCAAAAACGGGAACCTTCACCTGTTCCAGCCGAAAGGCTGGGTTGTCTTTGCCCAGGGGCTAGTAGTTGGAAGCCATAATCTCCTCCACCAGGTCGCGGCCCTCGGAGTAGCGGCACGCTACCGCAAAAGCCTGGTCGCAAGCCACCCTCACCGGAGACGTCTCTTCCGGCGGTTCCACGCGCGTGTACGGCGCCATCTCCTCCATTCTTGAAGTCAATGGATACTTCGAAACCTCCACACCATCCTCGGTAGTGCCGCGGACCCCGTAGGTCTTCACGTAGAACCACTGCTCAAGCCAGCCGTGGTCCCACTTGCCCTTCTGGCAAAAAGAAATCTCCAGGCGGTCTACGCCTTGGTTCCTCTTTGACATAAAGGTGCAACTACCATACTGGTAGGTCACCTCCACCTCCTTGCCATCCCGCACCTCCTTCTTCTTCTTCGGCTGCTTCTGCAGCTCGTAGTACATGCAGAAGGTGTCCACATCCGGCTCGGCACCATAAGAAACACACACCCAGCAGAATTTGCTGAGCGTGAGGAAGGCAGTAGGAGTCAGATGATGGAGCTGGACATTGAAGGTCTCCAACAACCGGCGGAGGAAGGGGATATAAGGAAGGCGGAGGCCGCAGGTGAAGAAGTCCCGAAAGACCACCGCATATCCCTCCTCCGGTTCCGGAACAGTCTGGCCAGGCAGAGGGATTTTTACCCTCGAAGAAGGAAAACACGATTCCTTCAACATCTCCGTGATTGCCTCTTCAGTAATGGAGGAGGGGCCGAAATCCCATGACTTTATCGCCATGTCTCTGGAATCAGCAGCGATCAGGTCTCCAACGGACGCAGAGACACTCCCCAAATCCTCCTCCACTAACTTTTCAAACTCCAAAGCGGAGGCAGAGGCAAGCATGCACTCCTCAAAACACGCACCCCAGCCGGCGGCCCTAACGCCGAGAAGGTGGCGATAGGGTCCAAAGAAGGCGGGCCGGCAAGTATGGGCGGAGGCGGAAAAGAAAGCCACCGCGACAGCAGCCTAAGTGCAAGATGCAGGCAGAAAGACGGAACACGCGAGGGCAGCAAAAGGCGAAAGCGAAGAGAGCAGAGAGCGATTTCTCAGAGGCAAGGAAAGCGAATGAGCAATGCGGGGGGGACCCCGCCACCAACCACGCCCTTATATAGGTTGTAGGCAGGCGGTCCGGCTCCTGCCATACAACGGTCATCTCCGGAGAACTCGCCTGCCGCACAACGGTCATCTCCGAAAAAGTCGCAAGGTATACAACGGAAACTGATAAGGCATAAACGGCCACACCGTAGGACAACGGCTAGATTTGCTGCCCAACGGCTACTCTCAACGAGACCAACGGTCGCGCTAGAGCGGGCCAGGGGGGAAGTAGCGTGGCCTCGCTTGGAGACGCCAATGCGTGTGGCCTCCACCCCCGCGGACGCCTTTGGTCAAGGCGTTTTGAGATCACGGCACGCTCAGGCGAACCGTGGTCTCAAAAGGGGGGAACTGTTGTAACACGGCCTCGGCAGGTGGCGAAGGCCTCCGACGGCGAGGTGTCACCAAGGTGTCTTCGACCGTCTTAGGGTGGAGATCAGGCGCCGACTAAAGGAACTTTCCTGGCTATGCTCGTAGGGCGCTGCACGAGGCTCAATGAGCTTGTCGCGAATTCCGCCTGGGCCAGGCACAGACATCTCCGGCCGCTCAGGCGGACGCCGCCCCGCTTCGTCTGACGGGCGTCTCCGGCGCTGAGGGCGGAGGCCGCCCCGCTTCGGCTGACGGGCGTCTCCGGCGCTGAGGGCGGAGGCCGCCCTACCCCCGAACTAATCAAACAAACAATCTTGCCTAAGTGTGTGCAGGTACCTAAGCGCAGGCGCCCGTGGTCCGCGCGAGCGCGCCAGCATGGCCCCCGCGCGGCCGGGCGGAGACCTACGGATGATTTCTCCGACCGGACCGGCGGAGACCCACGTAGGCAGCGGCGCGCCCCTGAAGACGGAGGCCAGCGTCGGGAACCCAGGCCTCTGGGCCGAAGACCGAGGCACGGTGGGCCGATAGCTTATGGAGGCCCATTGCTTGAAGACGGTGTGGCAAGATTGCCCTGCAAACAAGAGACTAGTGGCAGAATATTCCAGAAATGTACTGTAGCAGTTGAGGGGCATTGTAATAAATTCTGTCAAGAAGTAGTTGAGCCCTATAAATATGGAACACTTGTAACAGTGCGGGAGGATGGTGGATGAATTAATGAAACCTTAGCTTTCCGTGCCAGTTTGTTACACACCCACCTGTCGTGTCTATCTCGAGCCTCCGCCCGAGAGCGACGCTCGGCGGGCGGAGGCCTCTGTCTCTTACACGCTGTCTGAGACCGCTAGTCTCAACAATCTCCTTTCAGAAATGCACTTTCAGTAATAAAGAGTATACAGACAAGGGAGTGGTTTCATGAATTTTCCTCAGTTTCCGGGTACTGCAGTGGTTCAAGGAATTTTCTCAGTTGGCAGGTTCAGGACAATGCGACTTGGTGATGACTGATGACAGTGTTCATTGGGTCTGAAAACAGAGGGATTACGTAGTTTTGGTACTTAATGCTCCCGTGGAAGTCTTTTATGGTATTGGCGTTTCCATTGACCAAGGATAGGATGCTATATATATGGTGCTCATGCTAGTATGCTTTCCAAGTGTGATCATGACAAAACCCCATTGTACATATGTGCGGATGTACCTACCGTTACTAATAATGCAAGATATGGAAATGGACCGTGTTGGTCCCGTGGTTTTTTACTCCTCACATTGAGGAGGTTTTTCCACGTAAAATCATTGTCGTTGCGCACTGCACTTTGAATTCTTGTGGCTTTTCTATTGTCTGAATCCTTCATGCAATATTGCGTAACAAGGAGTAATAAATATGCAAGAATGCCCCATATCTTGACATGAATGGAGTCAAGTTAGATATTTCGCTACTACTAAAAGCATGCACATTCCCACTAGAATTTTGCAACATTTATATGCTGTTCCTTATGTAAGTTACTCCAAGGTATTGTTTCATGTTATTTCTGAAAAACTTGCGTAATTAGGAGAACAAAGAGAAAAATGATACCTGAAAGAAAGAAACTCTACAAATTTGCCTACATAACATACATAATGCCTCAAGGGTCTACGTTCATTTCATTTGTGACTTGTGAGCCCAATGTTTCTATAAAGAATCACCTTTCAAGATATTGAATTTGTCAAAATTTGACATCTGACTCTTTTATTCTAAATAGAGCAAGTTTTTTTTACTGTCCATGCTATCGAAAAGGTAATATAGGAGGAAACATATATATTGGCCCTAGTTGATTAATTTTTCTTCTGTTGGGTATGTAAACCAAATTAACCATTGTGCATGACTCGGTCCCACATCTTATTCTGCCTCCGAAGTGAGCATAATTGAAGTGCCTACATACTGCGGGTTAGCGTGACTTCAATCGGAATAGAAATAATTAATACTTGTTTGCTATAATGTGATATCTCATATAGAGAATAAATAAGCATAATTATTGGTCAAAATAATTACTACTACTATTTGTTATCTATAATGTGACATACTATCATATGAAGAACAAATAAACAAGATTCTTGGTTGTCAGTAGGGTCAGATGAGAAAGACAATATCATCGAATCCAATGACATGCGAAGAAAAATGCACAATAGATGTGTTTTAATAATATATAACTCACACTAGATAGGTCCAGTTTTTTTTTTGGGTATCACAAAAATCCTGTAAGGGCTAGTACTTAGTACCATACATGATAAGCAATACACGCCCCGTATTCGTATCCAACAGGATATCTGAAAATACCTAATAAATTAATAAATTGTGTGCTTTAATTTTTGCACTTTTACATGTAAGTTCGTGAAATTAGCATCCAGATTCGTTAACATGAACGTTTACATGCAGGTTCTAGTCTATCAAGACGCCCGTGACACGAAATGAAAATGTTGCCCTAAACTACCGTGGATTGCATGACTGTTTTTTCTATGTGCACGCTGCTAAGCAAACCGGGTCAAGACTGATCGAAAGGACCTCGACCTTCCATGATATACGTGTTTCACCGTGTGCAAACAAAGATGAAAGGACCTCGACCTTCCATGATACATGCATGTTCCATGATATACGCGTTTCACCGTTTGCACTTTTTTTTTCTCCCTTTTTTGTTAGGGAACAAAGATAATCTACTTCCTTATCTTCTTATACATATACTATATGCGTTTAGATGATTTGAACAATATTTTTTCTCACTGAAGAATTCCATAGAGTACGCCACCATTCCTAGCGTAAAACTGAAACAAATTCCATAGATTACTGGCATGTGAACACATTCTGTCTACCAAGCCATTTTCTTATGGCAAAGACCAAATACTTCAATTTTGATTGTTAATCCGACTTATGTCTACCTAGCCATTTTTGAAGCACCTAAAGTTACTTCAGACAGCGGGGCCTTTCAACGCAAGACCTCCATCTCCATCCAAATGCAAGCAGAGGCTACAACACTATTCTCGTTACACTTTACACATGGGCATGGCGAGCTCCAGCTCCCCAATCATCCCTAGCTCAAAACAACACAATCAACTAGCTCTACAACATATCTCTTCCCTGCCATGACCTGTAAAAAGAGGGTCTTTTCCCAGTAAAGTATCTACATGTCATCAAGTCCAAGCGCCCCATCTTTCTTCCTTTCTTCCTTTTCTTGTTCTCCCCCTTGTTTTTCTCTTTTGCCACATGAGGGTGTAAATTTTCAGTTACAGAAGCACAGGCTGATTGCAGTGACCTGGTGAATCTGACAACTGGAGTACGAGAAGGAAATGGCAGGATGTAGAACATGGTGTCTAATTTCATGAAGCAACTCGATGCCATTGCTGCGGTGAGCAGACACCATTCATCGGTCTCTTAGCGGTTAGTGCAGCGTTGCCTGTTACCTCTCAGTGCGGTGAGCAACTCTGTCATTCAACTAGATAGTGGTGGGAAGTCACCGCTGTCCTTGAGGCGATATGATTGAGCAATCCTGTAAATTGTACAGTGCGGGGTCAGACATTGGAAACTCTGTAAACTGAGTACAAAACCTACAAGATGAATGGTACGAGGGAAAAGGAGTGCATTCTCAAGCTGAACTAGCATGTTTTCTGCCTTGAAAACAAGTGTGGCCAGAGTAAATCAAAAGTGTGGATTGGTCCATGTCCCATAGGTTTGAGATATGCACGTTAATATCCCCAAACATGATCTAGACGTATATACATCAGTAAGCTTAAAATGGTAAGCTAGTAAAATCTGCATTAACAAATCTGAAAAGACATCAAAATCCAAGGACATCAATTCTTTGTTGATTTACATGGTAATAATAATGTGACCAATGGCAACTTGAATTGTCTCCCATTATTAGTAATTATCAATCACAAAGGATTGAACCTCAACTTTCCTCAATTATACAAGTTCAGTGGGTATGCATGTGTGGTTCTCAAGAGTCAAGACCAAGGACCCCAGTAAGATATACTCAAAAAGTTTTAGGGGGCTATGATATAATTTACTCCATATATTAATGCCCAACAAAAGTGAACATCACAACCATCTAAATAACTTTGCAGAAACACCAAAGTACCAAACTAACGAAGAGTAAAACATCTAATTGTAGTAACATGGAAATGTCCACTAAATTAAACATCATTTCTGTCATACAATTATTGTTAGTGCTGGCAATGAAAATAACACGCCATACCTACCTCATTTGGTTGGAACCTGTCGTAGTGTTTCGGGGAGCAGAAACAATACTCACAGGACCAGAAGCTTGATTGCTGGAAGCAGATTCTGATCTGCTAGCATGGTGTTTGCAGGTAACTTCCCAAGGCAACGCCCCCAAGGTCCCAGGCTCAAGTTTACTGTCAAAGGTCCCGGACACAAGTTTACTGTCTTGCAGGAGCATGAAACCATTGCCATGAAAATTATCCCTTCGAACCTGGGAAGATGGAGAATGAGCTGGTACCTTCAATTGATCTCTTGGAGAGTTGGGCGATGGAGATGGCATTGGTATACTCACTGGAGATGGCATTCCATGATCAGTTCCACCAGGAATATGTATCTGTGGTAGCTCATGCCTAAATTCCTGACCAGATCCCATATCTGCAGGCATATCTGTTCTGACATGGTGATGAAACCTTTAATAATTATTTGAAGTGAATTGATTTCTTCCTCCCTCCCCACGTCCAGCAGGTGGCCTATCCTTGCACAATTTCTACAGCATCCAGCAAGGCAGACAAAATTACCACGAATATAAGACAAAGCTGCCCAAAAAATACAAATTTGATGCCTAACCAACCTAAAGTAATTCTACTATGTAGTAAACTCATAAGAATAATGGAGACATCTTCAAGGTTGTTGCATATGAAAAAGGATAGTAACTCTAATAACATGATAAATAGATTAGAAGAACATTAATATGTGCAACATGTACATCATTTGGAACAAAAAGAACACATGGGCAAGTAACAGATACAGATTATTGAGAAATGTTACTTTAAGTTCTACAAGCATATCTAGAAAGTCCATGGAGGGAACATACTGGGTCAGGAAAGTAGGTGCCTGTTCCACGGGCCCTCGTAGCCATAGGATCATCTGGTTGAATAAATGGCCTCCACACAAGATAGCCAGATGGGTAAGGAGGACAAGGGACTGCTCCATTCATGCTAGCATATGCATGTGGATTTTTTTTTTCCTCGACCATCTGAAGGGCGCGTGTTCTGGTATTGCAGGGGTGGTGGAGCAAGCCTTCCATGGTAAAACGGGTTTGCTGGATTAACTTGCTGGAACCCTTGCACATACTGAAGATTATGGAAGTTTGTCTTCAAATCTCCAGTGAGATCTTTCAAGATGTTATTAAACTGATAAGACAGATCACCACAGCGATTGCTGTATAAAGGTGAACTGCTGTTGTTGACTCTTCTCCTATCCAAGCCCAGTGACAAGGAATCATTGGTGGCATGATAAGTCAATATACCATCATCAAATGAGCTCGCTAAAACGTCTGGTCTGAACCCAGTATGATTTCTCTTTAATGTGTTCAAGAAGAACTGATTCACTTCATTGACAGTATAACAGACAGGCATTTGAAGAATCTTCCCAAGCTTGCGAGCACCAAAATCAAATGCGCTACGTATTCGGTAAAAGTTCCCTGAACATGGAATAGTACAATTAAGCTTGAATCTTTTTAGGAAATCATCAAGTACCTGATTAGTCCCTACTACCACAATTCAGATCTAGAGGCAGAACAATACCTTTGCTGACACTGCGTCCAAGATTATTACTCTGTTTCAGTGGATCAACAATATTTAGAAATTTTCGAGAAAATACTTGTGCGTCTCTCTCAGAGTTTCTAGGAGGGGCACTAAAAGCTTCTGCACATTCTCTGAGAACCTTTTCCCGTGGAAGAAAAAAAATCATCATGAATAGCTGGCAGATGCGGGTCAGCTGTTGAATAAAAGCCATGTCAATGATCAATAAATTTAAGTTGCAACAAGCCAACATACTGCATAATTCAGAGTTCATTTACTTACTAACTAGATCAGGTAGTGAAGATAAGGAAACAGGACCAAACAAGCTGATTCCCTTGGTATCCCAATCAAATTTACTATAGAAATCGAGAAACCTATAGAGGACCTGCAGAAGGGCAGATAGTCATTCACCCCTGGGAAGTACTCTATCTTGAAGAAATTTGATAAGGTCACAAAAAACTGATAAATGCAACAGCAAAATTTAGGCCAAAACTTACAGATAATGGACCACTCAAGGTCTTGTGGAAGATATGGAAAACGCACAGAACTAAAATCTCCAAGGCATAGGTAGATAGCAATCCATGGTGAGCACCAAGGATGCGACTTTCATAGTAACACCACACTTTAATAAGCACTATGCTTCGTTTCAACAGGTGTTTTTTTCCAAAATTTTCATCAACCTGTAAATGAAGGCATATAAGCAACTCCGAACAAGGCAGTAGTCCTCGTAAAATGCTTTAATGTTATTAACTACTCCCTCCATTTCAAATTATAAGATGTTTTGGCTTTTCTAAATACGTAGCTTATAATTTAGAAAGTTAAAGCGTCTTATAATTTGGGGATTATACAAGTACCAGATCTGAGGTTTAAGGAAAGACAACAGCAAGAACCAAACAACATTGAAATATTACCTTCTCCAGAAAACAAAGCGTACGGAGTCCCCCAATCTGATTCACAGATATATCTACAACAATATTCTGTACTAGACATTTTACCAGTTTGACCTGCCATAGCCCATAAGGAAGACTTACCATAAACAAGACAGAGAATTGCATTCAAGTATAGAGAAATGGGAAATTCCTTTTTTTTACATAATGTACATAAATGGATGCTGATATGTATGAGTGCAGGGAATTCGAAGTATGTTAATTAGACAAGTGGTGCGCAAACGAAATAAACACCTCCAGTAAAGTGAAAAATCCAAAAAATGATTGTCGGGTATCAGTATTAGGGATACCTGAAAGAAGGAAGCTGATGGCCGCGAACGCTAACTCGCCTGGATGGTCAAGAGCGTATTTTGGTTTCGCCCGACTCCGAAGGTACGGGCTCCGTGTCGCCCGACCCCGAGGGCGCGGGCTCCGTGTCGCCCGACCCCGAGGGCACAGGCTCCGTCACGCCAAACCCCGAGGGCACAGGCTCCGTCACGCCAGACCCCGAGGGCGCGGGCTCCGTCACGCCCGACCCCGAGGGTGCGGGCTCCGTCTCGCCAGACCCCTCGAAGGGGGATTCCGACTCGCCCGACGGGGGTCCGTACCGCCTCCAACCACTACGGGTCTAAGAGTACGAACCAAGGGTCAAACTTCTGACACCAGAAGGAGAGTAGACGTGTCTTGACGAGACCCGCGGCCACGACAGGCCATACCTGAGGACTCACGTCACCAACAGTGTCGGGCGTGCCAGCGCTATGCTACCTAATCCCCGTACGACTTCCGACGGGGTATCCCCTAACCATGCCGCCCGCCGGAACGGAATGGAGCGCCACGACCGGCTGACGACGCCCACGTATAGCTCCAGTGATGAACAGGGTCGCGACATGGAGACGTCCCCATCATCATCTACAGGACCGGCGGGACCCACGTAAAGGAGATGAAGGGCGCCGCGACCCCGGAGGCCTTCTTCCTCCTCGCTTTTCTCTCTCTCTCTTTCTCTCGTGTAACCTGCGCCTTCCCCTTCAACTATAAAAGGGGAAGCAGGACGCCCACGAAGAAAACGGCTCAACGCTGAAAGGAACTGAGGTCAATTGGACTCAACTCCATTCGATCCTTCCATCAGAAACTTGGGACCTTCTCCCTCTCTCGCCCGTTTGTAACCCCTACTACAAGCAAGTGCCGGTAACACAAGCAGCCTAAAACTGGACATAGGGACATTCTGCCCGAACCAGTATTAACCCTTGTGTCCTCCGAGCACACCATCTGCGCCAGACGCGCAAACACAAATTTACTAGTCGGCGGTTCGAAACACCGACAATGATATATCAATGTTGACCTCAAATTGCATATATATGCATTCGAAACACAGAGCAATATGGTAAATTGAAATACCTCAGCATGGATATACTGGACATCCTTGACATCAAATTCAGAATCTTTCCTATGCTCTTCTGATCTTAGAATAGCACAGACTTCATTTGCTAGATTCTCATCAGAAATCGCAGGGCCAAATGCAGTCAAGTCGATATCTCCATCAGGAAGATATGTTTTCAGTGGAACAGATCCAAATGGGAAGACCTATGTTTTACAAACATAAAGGTTAAGTTTGCAGTACAATCCCTCTGATGTGACTTTAATATAGCATTAAGACAGCACCAGAGCAGCACCAGCCTTGGTAAAATTGCGATATCTCACTCAGGCGCATGCAAAGAAGCGGCAATACTAGCTAAACATACACATGTGGAATACCATCTAGTAGAAGCAAACAAGTAATCCACTAAAACATGCCTTAGTGGCTTATTAAATAACTGAATTTATCCCTGTAAGCCTTGTAGCCAATTTACCTCAAATTGTGACACATGTTTGCCAGATCTATGTGTCCACTCATATGAACAGCAATCCAAAACAACCTCAATAACGACAGCCAAGTCAAAAACATGAGTGAAATCTTAAACCCTTACACCATATACTACTAGATTTATCTACCGATTCACTCATAGATAGGAATAGGATCATAGTTTGGTACAATCATCACATTACAGCAATTGTAGCATAAATTTGGTAAAACTATCATGGCTATTTACATATAATCCTTGCACGATACAATCAATCCTAGCAACTATTTATGAGCAATTAAGTATAAATGCAGAAACACCTCTCAATCGCAAAGTTCCATCTTTTACTCAGTTACATATTCAATATTTACATTTGTACAAACACAAAGATCATTCATTTGTACCATAATTTACAATTCTTCTAGAGCACAACTTAAGAATGTACAATTAAAGAAATACATGTTATATTCAAATAATGTGTCTTAGATAGAATCAGGTTGCTAGGATCTTAAATTCTATAATACGATCCTATATTAGATCTTAACATATCATCTCCAGTTCAATTTAAGATGTCCTGACGCCTTGACTGAGGCATAACAAAAGACCAAAGCTGCTCCTTCAAATAACATGAGCAATGTTTGAAGGGACACCTCACTAAAACAGACACTAAGATAAATGGCATGCCCAGACCTCCAATACACTATCAACAGTTTCGCAGTGTTTAATGTGGTACCCGAACAGGCGAACACATGCCAACAGATAGTTCACGCTCCCATTAAAGGTCATACCCGCCAAATCACGTGGATACTCAAGTGCGCAACCAACAAAGTATATCCATACCGTTACACATTTGTACTCATCACCAATAAACACTTGACACCTAAAGGACCCCAGCAACAAACGACAAGGATTTTAAAACAAGAGCTCGTTATATTACCGGTTTCGTGCCAAAAATCACATGCCAGCAATTATTACAGTACATAAAAATGAAATGAAATAGCAAGCATCGCAACAACCAACTCTGCAGCAGGAACACACCCATGACTCATTCCTCCTAAAGCACCCAAACAGCCATTGGAGTGATCTGAAGGATATGATATGACAAGCATTGAGCACAGCAGAGACTGATGAAACATCTAGGTTTTGTATGCCATTAAAGGTCCTGGTCCTACTCGCCAAATCACATGGAGACTCAAGTGCGCAACCGACAAAGTATATCCATACTGTTACACATTTATACTCATAATCACCAATAAACACTTGACACCTCAAGACCCTCAGCAACAAACGACAAGGATTTAAAAACAAGAACTCGTTATATTACCGGTTTCGCGCCAAAAATCGCATGCCAGCAATTATTACAGAACATAAAAATGAAATAGCAAGAATGGCAAGAACCAACTCCGCAGCAGGAACACACCCAGCATGTTTACCCTAGCTTCAATTCCATGACCTAAAACATGATCAAGGGCACTCAGAAAGTAATGACTGATTCCTCCTAAAGCACTCAAACAGCCATTGGAGTGATCTGAAGAATATGACTGCTCATAGCACAGCAGAGACTGCTCAAACATCTAGTGGTTTCGTATGCCATTGATGCACAAAGCCCGAGCTCTAAGCTATAGAACACTAGGACCGCAAACAAAACTGTAGCCGCAGGGAAGGAAGCTCCAGAGCAGAGCAAGTAGAGTACCTGAACCCCAGCGCGGGAGCCCAAGAGGCGCTGGAGGTAGTCGATGACGGCGGCGCAGAAGTGCCTTTATCGGAAATAAAAATTTATCGGAGGTCATGGATAAATAGGATAAGCAAGATACATCGGAAATATCGGACCAAATTCAAAAAAAATTTAAATTGTTTTGAAAAAAATTCGTAGAATTTAACTTGAAACTATTACTAAGCTATTAAACGTCACTTGTTCATAACTAAAAACAAGAATAAAACATTATAGTGTGGGACCGTCGCACAGCCGAATTTGGGTTGTCTGTGTAGGAGCAGGAAAGAAGGGAAAAATTTTATCGGACCCTGTGGATAGAATGAAAATTTCAGAAATTTTCGTGAATTTCGGCCGATAAAAAAAACCATGCTCGGAGGTGACGGTGGGCTGGATCTTGTTTACCACACCAAGCGCGGCGCTCTCGAAGCGCCGCCAGGCGTCGTGCGGGATCGACGACGGGTCCGGGTGCGCCGGCGCGGCCTCGGGCTCGGGCACGGGCGCCGCCGGGGACGCGTCGATGATGTCCACCATGGTCGCTGGAGCACCGAAACACACTACGAGAGCGAGTGCCTCTTCCTCCCGGCGGCGTCAAGCGGCCAGCCGCTTACAGGAGGCGCTTCCGGCGAGGAGCTTGCGCTATGGAGGCGATCGGCGAGGGCGCGGATGCGATCTGGGCGCCGCCGGCGGGAGAGGGGTTAGGGTAGGGAGCGCAGGAAGGATTGGGGACTGGGGAGAGCACGGGGGGAGAGATTTTAATGTGAGAGAAAGGTTCAGTTTTTTTGTCGCTCTCGTCAGCTCGTCAGTTTCCTCTTCTGCTCTTGGTGAGTGAGTTGGTGTGCACGTCTCTGCCCTGCGCGGCGAGAAATGGCGGCCACGGGCGGGATGGACGGATGGATGTCTGCGCGCGGCTTGACGATCCTGAGATTCGGTGGATTCAGTTAGTCGCGGGCCGCTCAACTCAACCTGCGCGGCCGGAGGGAGAAGACGAACACGAGGAGGAAGAAGAAGGTGAGGAGGAGGCGGCGGCGGCTTCAAGGTGCAGGCCGCAGCTGCGCCCACAGAAATTGAAATTGAAAAATGGCAGTTCCCTCCTCAATTTGGCGGCATCTTGAAATACATCAGAGTAATGACGATGACGTTACTAGTTAGGTCTCGTGTAGATTGTAAATTTTTGTAACTCGGATATTGTAGCACGTTTTGTTTGTATTTGATAAATTTTGTCCGATCATGGACTAACTAGGCTCAAAAGATTCATCTCGTGATTTACAACCAAACTGTGTAATTAGTTATTTTTTTTACCTACATTTAATGCTTCATACATACATCCAAAAATTGATGTAATGGAGAGAGAGTGAAAAAAATTGGAATTTGGAGGTGATCTAAACAAGGCCTTATTTAATTTGATGATGTTTACAGTTGGTAAAATATGTCGTATGTACCCACTACCCAACCCATTGAGAGACGTTACAGTGGTCAAAAAATTGTGACGCCAAAAATCATTGTTTTCGCGAAAAATAAACTACACGGTGTGTCAATCTCCCCATCAGAGCCGGATTAGTTCATGTGACCAGAAGATTAAGGGTTTGGTCCTGTAAATTTTGCTCTAATAAAGAATCTTTTGGAGTTCACCGTCCCCAAAGGGTCTGTTTAGTTCCCCCAATTTCCAGAATTTGGCACTATGCAAAAAGAAGATTCTCCATCACATCAAACTTGTGGTACATGCATATAGTACTAAATGTTGACGAAATCAAAAACTAATTGCACAGTTTGGTTGTACTTTACGAGACGAACGTTTTGAGCCTAATTAGTCAACGTTTGGACAATTATTACCAAACACAAACAAAACGCTACAGTAGCTACTGTGTCTACAGTAACTCTGACGTCGCCGATTCCGCGCCGAACTAAACGAGGGCTAAATCTAAGAGCCAAGTTTTAGCCTCTAGGCACACAAGGTTAGCAAGAGTAGATATGGACAAGACTACTAGTCTCCTTCTTTTTCACATTATAAGACGTTTTGCCATTTCCAGATATATAACTTTTGCTATTCATTTAAACATATGTCTAGATACATAGTACAAGAAATGTATATATAAAAGCCAAAACATCTTATAATTTGAAATTGAGGAAGTAGCATATATATTTTCTTGTGCTATCTTTTTTCTACAAATTGTCATGGGATAATTATTCGTCTTAATTATGATAGAGGTACATGGCAAAGACTTCCACGCTGTTTATATCTTATGAAACGATGCGCATCGCGGATTTGTATCATGACTAAGGAGATGTACTAATATATTGAAGTTTCTTTTCTTTGGGATTGAAAGAAAGACGAGAGCACGCATTGGCCGTGGGTTGTAATCAGATTTTAGCGGATCAATGACCCTAAATTTTCTATAGAAGCTTGGGGAGCAGGAGGCATGGTCTCACTTTATTTCACAAAATATAGGTGCTCATAAACGATGTAGTAAGCAGTATTTACTATCAGTAGAGTTACGGCGCACCCTGGATCCCTGTTCTCCTCGAGACCTCGACACATCATGTCGCTCCTCTCCTCATCTGCCTGCTTCTTCCTCTCATGTCCCACCCTTCTCGCCAGTGTGCATGCTTTCAGGGCACTCCTTCCCGTAGCCTCTCTCTAGCAGTTCCTCCTGTAAGACTATACCCGCTTCATATCATGGGCTTCCCCTTTCACTACTACAGAAATGAACTTGCGCAGCGTTGCATAATTGGTCTCCGTGGCGGGCACTGTTTTTGCCCGCCACGGTAATTCGGTGGCCGGCCGGCCACTGAGACGCCCGCTGTGGTAATGATTTACTGCAGCGGGCAACCTTATTTGCCCGCTGTGGTAAATCCCCATTTACCGCAGCGAACATCTTAACGCGTCCGCCACGGTAAATCGATTTACCGTGGCGGCACACTAAAAGGCCAGCCACGGAAAAAGGCAAGGCCCAAATGGCCCAAATACGCCCAATAGTTGTCTTCATATATAAGCCAACACTTAGGGTTCCCTTTCACCTCTCACCCCCTCGCCCTCCCTCTCACTCTTCTCGACGGCCGCACTCCCTTCCCACGCCACCGCATCCCGAGAGAGACGAGCCCCTCTCCTCGACCCCCACCCCAACACTCCCCATCCTCTATCTCTCCCCGGTGGCGGCGGCTCTTCTCTCGGCCGCAGGGCACAGGCTCATGGGCGGAGGGCGGCGGTGGTGTGGCTGCAAGGGAGCAAAAGGCGGCCGTGGCGCGGCTGGAGCGGAGGAGGGCTGCGTGGTGGGAGGCTGCTGGTGGTGGGGGGCTGCTGCAGTGGCGTGGCTCGCGCGGAGGGAGGGACGGTGCGACGTTGAGGTGGCTCAGCAGGCAGAGGTTGTCGTCGTGCCCGTCCTCCACCAGGTACACATGGCAGTGGCGTCGTCTCGATCCACCTCCGGCGAGACGGCCACGGCGTCGATCCGCCACCAATGGCTGCTCCACTGGCGTCGATCCGCCACCGGTGGCTCCACGGCGTGAATCCACATCTGGCGCCCTCTCCCCGGCGGCTAGTGGGCTCGCTGACGGCGGATCCGGCGAGGTGGAGCTCAAGGCGAGCTCAGACGGATCTGGCGGCGCTTAGGGTTTTGATGAGGGTTTGGACTATTGGGTTGGAAACGGGCTCGTGTAATGAGAATGGGCTCATGGCATTGGCGGGCTCTGGATTTTTTTTTTTGTTTTAAAAACATTAACATGGGCGGCAAAGCCGCCCGCCGCGGTTAAGCCACGATTTACCGTGGCCTCTAGGCCACGGCGGATGGCTTTGCCCGCCGCGGGAAACCGAAAACGTCCGCCTCCAGTAAAGTTTGTGTAGTAATGTTTCTTGATTCATGTCATCGTATAGGTATCACCTGTTGTTTCCCCAATTACCCAACTGGGGAGTTCCTATCCTATTTGATTTTATTATCCTGAGTTTTCCAAGGTAGCAACGAGGCATGCCTGTTTCATCTACTATATATATGGCTAAGACTATACAAAATTTACAACGAGGCATGCCCAAAAATCTTAGAGCTGAGTTGTAGCCTCTAGATTTCAGTGGATTGTAAACAGATTTCAGTGGATCAATGAACCTAAATTTTCTATAGAAGCTTGGCGTGTAGGACTTGTGGTCTCACTTTATTTCAGAAGATATAGATGCTCATAAACGATGTAGTAAGCAGTGTATGGTATATTCACTATACCTTTGTTCTTAGGTTTCCAATTGTATAAAAGATTTCTTATCTTTGTTTCTAGTGTTCCACTTGTATGAAAGATAGTAAGCTTATCGTCTGCAATACTTAGCTTACGAAACCTAATATCATGTGCTATTAATATGCGATTCTAAGACTTGTTGATTACTATTTTAACATTGCACTCGGAAATTAAGTGGTTGGTATATATTCATTTTGCTAAGACTATTGTCATTAGTCATTTTATAGTCGTGAACACTAGAAATATATGAAGATTGAGTCATATGTATACTAAATGGTTGTGAATTTTTTTATTTTTAACACTTTTTATAAACAGATTTTAAATCTAACACTATTTAATTTTTTTTTTCAAAACTAACACTTTTGGCCGCACCTATTTCCCTAGCGCGGCAAAACGTCTGTGTCGTGTTATGCATGGTGGCACGACGAGAGGGATGACGTGGCGATGACCGAGCCGCGGACTGACGACGTGGCAGGTCTGCCGCGCGGCGCGGCAGTCCCGGGCACCGACTCACCGAACGCACGCCGTCCATCGACCAAAGAGCCAGCCGCCTGCTCCGTGCTCCCTGCACCAGCACAGCCTGCATAGGCGTCCAGCTATGTCCTCGCAGGCGCGCATCCGTCACCGCTCACCAGAGAAGCATGTCCCCGGCAAGGGGCAGAGGTGACACGGGCTGGGACCCGACAGCACGTGATCTGCTCCTTCATTCACAGGGCGCCTGCGAGCTCCGAGGAGATCAATTTTGTTTTTGCTAGACTATTCAAGCATTCATGAATCCTGAGGCCTCAAACCGTGACAACAAAGGCAAACAAGGCCAACAGACAACAGTAACATTCAGGCGACAGGGCAGCACGAGGGCACCGGTGAACTGGATATTACTTTGTAGTACTGTGCAGCCGTGCAGGCTGTGTCGTGCGTGATGTTACAATCTCCGGCTGGCTAGCCGTGAAATTCTTAGCTTTTCGTCTAGTACATAATAAGTTAATAACTACATTATATATGTGAATCAGATTCAAAGTCGTTCGGTTCAGCTGCAGACAACCTCTGCAGTCTGCACACTTTGGATGAGCAATAACGTGATCCAACGCTTTGTCACGAGCATTCTTCTTCATTTGGATACGCGTGTATTTACTTCAATCCACATATGTCGAAGTAGATTGAAATAAAACTTAATTTAATTTCACTTCAATACACGTGGATTGTAATGAATACATACGTAAAGCCTCAAGTATAAACGTATGGTGGCGGGAGCCATGGGCGATCGCAATTCTTCAGCGGATTCGCCGAGGGCACACATGGTATATTCTGTTTTCCAA